TTCCTTTTTTTAAGTAGGTTAAAAATAGTGACGTGACGTTAACCGTATCTCCATGGTTCAATAAATGAGAACAGCTTTCTTTTAATATGTCTAGTAATTAGTCGTTAATTGTTAAATTATATCTTTGCGAACTATTGATTTTAATTGGTGATGGCGAAGTGACTCATGACTCCCGGCGGGTTTGTTATACATAGGGCGCATCAATTGAGAACTTCCTCCTTTTTTCAAGTTGGTTAAAAATATTATACGTCAGTATAACATTATGCATTTACCACTAATAAAGATAAAGATAAATTTATTTCAACATAACTTAATCTAATAAATATAAGTAAAAAAAACAAAAACAAATGTAAGGGAAGCTAATATACAATTGGTAAAAAAAAAAAAAAATAAACCTTAATTATTATACTAATCATAAAGCTATACAATTAATTATTAGAAGCCTACCAGTATAGTTGCCTAAACTAAGTACATTATTACCTGTATCTTAAGCATCTTGTTTGTGCACAGATACATTATATTAGTGCTTAAAAACAAAATAGCTATATTTAATTAAGAATAAAACATCAGCTTTCATGTCAACATTTATTTTAAAATTCAAACTCTGATCCAAACATGATCGCCAAATGAATTATTATAGATTTAAAGAAAATATAACGAAATCAAATATAATTTTAACATGTGAAGTGTTTAATCAAAACATTTGGACACATAAAACTCTTAAACATACTTAAGATTAAACAAGATCAGTCAAGATAAGATTGTTTGCGACACAAACAAAACACGCTTCAAGTGTTTTGTTTTTTGTTTATCGATTGACGCTCCAAAATCGACCTAGATTTTTGACCCCCGACACAAAAACAAAGGAATTCGAAGTCTGAAGCCTATGTCTGTGTGTATGTCGGGTCTGTCTGCAGCATCGTAGCTCTCAAACGGCTCCAGGGCTCCAGAGCCCTAAGCCGCTTGAAAGTATTGGTAATTGTATTATAAAATTTTTACAAATGTCAATCTGGAACGTCTTAGGCTTCGTCACAAAAAAAAAATCAATAACGCACTTTTATGTGGTTTATGGGTTTAAAAATTTATTTACTCAAAATAATTGTACATTCACTTAAATGAGAAACTTAAATGTAGTAACATTACATAGGCTATAGACATAATATGTCATACGTACTACAAGCGCTAAATGCATAAAATCTATGTAATACAAATATGAAATTTTCAAGAGGTGGGAAATTTTGACTCGACCAACATAACATGCTGGGCACAGATCGGCAATAACCAGATGCGTCAAGAAAAGTACGTTGCAGGTTTTGTTTATCAAATGAAATTTATTATAATTATGTATTTTTATTCAATTTTACATTGTTAACCATCGCGATATTAATAAAATATATTTTTATGAAATAACTTCACTAGTTTGTTATACAAAGATCGAACACAAAGAAAAACTCCCTTTCTTTTATCTAACTATAACAATGAAAGAGAAGTGACGCCTTTGAAATGTGTTGCTGGCGCAGAACATTAAGGATACCGTGGACAGCCCGCCGTACCAATGTCTCTGTACCGGAGGAACTCAAGATGTAGAATACTCAGCGTCTGTCTTCAACTTGCATGCAGCGTGTGATACGCTATTTAGGTCACGTAGCACGTAGAGATGCTTATAACTTGGAGCGCTTGGGCAGGAGTCCCAAAAGGTGGTCGGATTAGATATCTGAATAACTGGAGCTATCTGTTAGCGCTGTACTACACCTGAGCGCAATCGATGGAGGCAAATCGTTGGCAGGATGAAATGGATCCACGACCCTCAGCAGTGAGGAAGCGATTAAGAAGTAGAATAACAATGAAAAAGGACCGCTCTGAATCTTAGCCGGTTCAAACGTCCCCGTAACACCTGCAGCTTGATTTTGATTGCCTCTCCCGATCAGAAACTGTGTCTTTTCCGAGTCGAGGCACAAAATATTGCGATTCACAACTGGCCGATCGGAAACTTTTGACATTTCTAATCTAAATAAAATAAATCTAAAAGTTGATTTAACTCACAAATTAGAAAGATATAGTAGGAATCAGGTTCATCTTCTCGCTCAGAAACCCATCTGATTTCGAGAGTACCCGATAGGATTGATTCCGTTTTGAATCAAAATCAGGACGCTGGCAGCATTATCGCGCTGAATAGCCAACGAAATTTGTTGCACCAAGTTAGATCCAGAGAGTGGATCACAGCCTCTATCTCTAAGTCGACAACCCAGCTCCATGATGAATTCTCTAGCCTCTGCATCCCAAAGCGTCGCAGTCTCCACTGTAGTTGGCACACAATCGTATATCTGTTCCAAGGCACTGTACTTACCATGTTTCACTGGTAATTGTGATTCCATTGGAACTCCATTGAGATTATATTGCAATTGTAGTATTTGTTATACTGTTTAAAATCTAACAGTTCAGTGTCAATAAAGTGGAATCGCAGTGATAGATAGATAGATAAAATCTTTATTCACCATGACAAATACATACACAGACACATGATACAGACATTAACTTAGACGTAACACAGTAATATATTCTACTAGTATCTCTCTTGGAAGCCATGGCAATGAAAAGGCTCTGACTCAGTAGAAAGTGATGGGTAACCCTGCCACTTTACGCACACATTTCCGCGTGTGCAGATAGCGCCTTGCTCTTTGTAGTAGTAGTAGTTAAATAACTTTCGACTATTGTATGCAGTGTCCGGGGTGTGTTTGTCACAACATCTCTAGCATTAAAATATCCCACCTCACACCTCACCTCATGTCATAGTCTCATGTCACAACCTCACTAATGGCACACTGATTCGGATTTAACAAATGCAACAATGATTGGTCCTGCACTTCCCGCTTTTTAGCTGATTTTACATCTTATGATCATGCTACAATAGGACTAAATGAAATTATATATTTATACTACATCATAACAATTAAGTTATCCAATTGATTGATACTGTAGACTTGGACGTAGCCCGTGTTGCGTAGCGAGAGGTACTTTTATAAATATAAACTGGGATAATCTTCAAAACTTGGTTTATTGTACTTTTTTACATATTTTCTTACTGAGGTTACATCTCGCACTATCAAGACGTTCTATTCTTTCTAATTTCCTATTTCAAAACACATTCTAAATATACTTGGTACTACTTGGTGTAACGGGCTGGTGTCCGCAACTCGACGACAAGGCGCCTATTTTGCCTATTCTAAATATAAAACTATATTCACTCAGCCAGTAGTTCTACTCATAGAGTAGAACCTAGACTACAATACCATCAATTTATGAAAATGTGCTTAATATTCCCTGTTTGTGGAGTCATTGCCGTTGGTGCAAACATTCTTACCACTACCCCACCTCGTTTGGAGTAGGATATTGTACCGCCTCATTTTTTGAAATGGGTTACTCCCTCAAACTCATTTTAATTTCATGTCCCACCCAACACCGAGATGATTTAAAATTAGCTGGCTTGGGACCTAAGTCTAAAGTCATCTCATTTGTGGATTTTGCCGGTTCTGCGAGCCCTAATAGACGCCTATTAGTCTAATGCATAGGTTCACAAATGTTTTGGCTCACCGCCCACTTAGACAAGATAAAGAATTTCAACGTCCACCGTATTTTTTAACCGACTTCAAAAAAGGAGGAGGTTCTCAATTCGACTGTATGTTTTTTTATGTATGTTACGCGATAACTCCGGTATTTTCATGATTCTTTTTTTGTTGGAAAGAGGGTACCTCCATAGTGGTCCCATTTCTACTCATCCTACCATTTCACCCTCTAAGGGTGGCTGATCACACATGAACATTCATTTTTATAAATAGCGCCTAAATTTTAGTTAAGTGAAGTCAAGAAGTGCCAACGCCTACCCTTTATATTGTGACCATAAAGCACTAAAAGCTTTTGATTTTTTGATTTAAAATTTCGCTTTTTTTAATTCAGGCACTTCTTCGTAAAATTTTCAATCGGTTAAATTTTTTTTAATTAATGTAGATAAGAAGCGTATACCTTTAATTCGTGAAAGTAGTAAATAGGTAGCAATTATTGGTAACACATACTTCTGGAAAATCTGCTCCTTTCATGCTGAACAAAGTGGCGACCATTAATTATTTATGGTCATTTATTTTTTTAAATTGCCCACAATATATCAGAGGTAGCAAATAGTAGCAAATAGGTAGCAATTCTTGAATATACACTCAGTGCCAGACGCCACAAGCGACCTGACGGTTACCGCGACTCTAGTCCAATACGTTTTCCAGCGCGTCTCTCGCCTTCAACCTTTCCCATCATTATAAGTTGAAGCAGTCGGTATCTATCGTGTTGAACCACGTGACCGAAATATGTTTGCGCTTCTTCTTTTCTTCTGCCCATCAGTGGGACGTATAATAATAATAATAATAAACCATTTATTTCAGGCCATAGCCCATAAGATAATGGTGTTAGTTACAAACCTTAGAACTATGTTAGTATGATTACATTGAATTTTGAGATATTGACAGAAAATTTAAATATTAAAATTTGGAAAATGCACAATTATTACTTAATTTGACCAATTGTAATATTTACTCAAAACTTTAAAATTGTACAGTCAAAATGATGGGCAAACATCCTCAGGATGCCATTGCCACTGTCACGCAGAGCTTTAGCAGAGACGACACTTTTTTACGCCTAATGGCATAAAAGTCATCTGTTCGCGCTTCAGCAAACATGCCGCAGGATGCACTGCAGTGCCGTGGCAGTCTCAACAGCATCCTGAAGATGTTATTGTATTGTACTCATATTGAGTTATATGTACGCTGTGTATATCTAACCTATAGACTACTCGAGTACATTGACTGACAAAAAGCTTTAAAAAGCGTAACTTTCACCTCTTTTGTACAACGAGTGAATCTACGGGCCAGCATGTTTATAAATGGGTTGATTACGTATACGAATTTATGCGCCTATTCGAAGGTAAGATAATGGTTTTTTTGTATTGTTAATTATAGATTATGAAACTGCTTTTGGTGTGCGCGGTGGCCGTGGTGACCGGGGTGCCGCTGCATGACGACATCACGCCTACCAGAGGGGAATCCTGCGGGTACGACGTAAGTGTTTCTGTTCACTTGTTTTTTTTTGTCAGGTCATGTACAGCTCTCAATTTGTTTTTATTTGTCACCTTTCGTGCACAATGCACGACCATCATTAGTACAGTACGTTCGTAATAAATAAATTTAAATTATATAAACATCATAGTCTTCCTTAGGGAATGGCTCGCGGACAGCCTTGTTGCCGTTCCGTCAATGTCGCAACAATATAAGGAGTGCGGTGCAATTATAAGTCGAATGGATTCCGCGTAGAGTTTAAATTAGCTTGGAGATAAACACTTCATAGGGTAACCCTATTGAGGGTTTTCAGTGTGGGTAAGTAATTACCCGAAGTAAGTGAATCAATTTGGTTAGTATTTCGTTAATAAGTGTAACACACCTATTGTGTTTTTTTTCTGTTTGGCCCAATGGTTGACTGGTAGAGAATGCCTTATTGCATTAAGTCCGCCATTTGTACTTCAGTGTATTGTACAATAAAGTTAAATACATAAATAACATACACACAAAAGAAATACCGTTGAATTGAGGATCTCCTCTTTTTTGAAGTCTGTTAAAAAAGGTTCTGACGGCATTACAAAAGTAACAAGCCAATGCCCGCACTAAATAAACAAAACAATTATCTTAGTGGATAACTTTTGAACTTTAACTCTTAGTTATCGATACCAGTTGCTTTATTAACTAAGTAAATATTGTGTGTAATTTCCGTTTGTTTGCAATAAAGCGTTGTATTTTTACTAATGACACCTAAGCAGTAGTAGAGCTTTACGAGCCCTACTGCTCCTAAAAGTAAGTTCTAAGCCTGCAGCATATGTTGTCCCACCCGTTTTTTTTTTTCGTGGGGAATTCCTCCTGGGTTACCTCTCCGACGCCGGGGCAGTGGAGAGGTTATGCCGGCTAAAACCCCACGGCGGCCTTTTCGGGTGCTCTAGTGGGAAGGATCCGGGATCGACTTAGCACACCGGGACCCCCCAGCACCTAGGAGGAGCTACGCCCCCCAAACGACGAAACGGGCTACGCCGCCCCGTCGTCTTCCTCGCGGTTGCCAAATTTACTGGCGAACGGGATCGGCCCTCTCTCGATCACGCTCGGCAACCTCCTTCTGGAGGTAAGAGAGTAAGTGTGTTGGGAAATTACAAACACATGGGACTTGTCAACTTATGTCTCAGGGTGACGGGCGCAGTGGCAGAGTCCCTAAAATCTTTGCGATTTAAAGCTATGAGTGGCACTGCAACTGTTATGGACAGGCGTGTCACTTACCATCAGGCGCACGACTTATTCGTCCCGTCACTAGGTATTACATAAACGAAGCTTAAGTATAATTAAAAATAAAATTGGTTATTTCACAGAGTTGCAAGGACTATGACCCCAACGTGTTAAATGTGCACATCGTTCCCCACACGCACGACGATGTGGGATGGCTCAAGACCGTCGACCAGTATTATTATGGCAGTGAGTATTCATTGATGTTTCCGGATTTGGAATGATAACTTCAAGTACAGAAAACTTGTCCTCTGTAAATTCTCCAAAAGGCCGTGGTAGCCTAAAGGTAGGCGTCCACAGATCCGCATAGCAATGTAGGTAATGCCGACGACGTCATACGGCTTGCGTATGTGTGGACGCACCCAGCGCGCGCGCCGCCGCCGCGCCGACCGTCATTTGCTATTCGTTAAGAAGAGTAAGTGTAGCATGAGACATAAGAAAATTCTGGTAGAATTTTACGTCGTCGTTTACCAAATCAGGAAATAGCGTATGATATTCTCTATGTTGCGATCTCTTTTTAAATATGTCATGTGTCCAGATATCATGTTTCCTTTTATTTTTTCTTCGAAACGTGTGTGTGCGAAGGTGGGACTACGGCCTAAACGCCCGTCGGAGAGGAGACCCGTTCCCAGCAGTGGGATATATAAATGGGTTGATAATGCTCCAAAAAGGTCCTAGAAAATTAAAATCCATACCATATAGTACATTTACAGATATTTCTTTTATTTTATTCAAGACGACGACGGTAAGTGTTTTGTTATTAATTTCTATTAATAAAAACAATACTTTCATAGGTTTCTCACCCAGTGTTTCATAGGTGGCGCTACAATAAAAAAGCCGTTAAAACGAAAAAAAAACAAAGATCTGCAACAAGCATTTAGAGAAAAACGTAAGGTCTTGCCTGTCTATGTTACGCGATAACTTTGGCTTTAAAATTCGTAAACCGATTTTGATGATTCCTTTTTGTTGAAAAGAGGGTACCTTGGTGTTGGTCCGATTTAAATTTGAAGAAAATATTTCACCTCTAAGGGTGGCAAACTAGGGGATGAATCCGGTTTCTCGCACTTTCCGGTAAATGATTTCAATAAAATATATACAAATAGATGTAATTCCAAGAACTTTTTAGGTCGATTTTTCTGCCTGATTGTTCGATCTTTATTTAATAAATATGTACATATATTTCTGTGTATTGTTTTTATAAAATTATATTGATGTTATTTTTCCAGGTCAAAATACCATACAAAAAGCTGGTGTTCAATACATATTGGATTCTGTGGTCAAGGAGTTGTGGGAAGACCCAAAACGGAGGTAAGTTTATTTCCTAATTGCCATATTCACTGTTTTACATTGTTCTGATATTGTCCAGTCGTGGTGAGCAGCGGCCGCGTCACAAACAAAACGAAAAACTAAATTAAACCACAGATTATTTAAATAAACATACGGCTGTTTCATTTTTGGACCTGTTCTATTTTTATTTTCTTTTATGTTTATTTTTTTTTTTACAAAATTCGCTTTTTTGTGTTTTTTTTCGAATTTTGTTTTTTGTTTCTTTATTTTTTTACAAAATTCGGGTAGCTTAATATTTTGATTTAAACTTTCACCATTTTCACACATTATTTGATTTTTAATTCGGAGTTAATCACGTATAAAACATATTTTTAACCGACTTCAAAAAAAGGAGGAGGTTCTCAATTCGACTGTACTTTTTTTTTGTATGTATGTTACGCGATAACTCCGGTATTTGTGAACCGATTTTCATGATTCTTTTTTTGTTGGAAAGGGGGTACTTCCATAGTGGTCCCATTTCATTTTAAAGAAAATCATCCACCTCGAATGGTGGCTGTTCACGCATGAAACATTCATTTTTATAAATAGCGCCTAAATTTTACTTAAGGAGCCATTATTTTAATGGTTGGTTTTGCCATTCTCCAATTCAAGGCGTTTTTCTCTCAATATACTTTGAGTAGTGAGAACCGATTTTTATTATCTCCAGTGTCAAGTCCTGTATAGTGGCGAACTAGGCGATATTTCAATAACACTTGGCAAATAGATGTAATTCCACGTATTTTTGAGTCGGTTGTTTTAGTACTCTGTACTGAGATTATACTGAGGCGAGTTGGACTGAGTCCCTTCGAGACCATGGACGTTGCAATGTGTCCGAAACGTCGAGGTAAATTAAATATGTTTTATACGTGATTAAGTCCCGAATTAAAAATCAAATAAAACGTAATATTAGTAAATAAATATGCCTATTGACAAAAATAACAGAAAATGCCAAAAAAATAAAGTTGGCGTAGTGTCCATTGGAGGTATCGCTTTGTGTGGTGCCAGCCGCGGCACCAAAAGGATCACTAACTAACCAATTTGCAATTAGCAAGGACCATCTCTGAACTCTGCCACATATAACCTTCGTTCATATAAACTTGTGCATTACAAAACTTTCCACGCCCGCAACGCTTCTGCGGCCGCCTCTGTATGGCCTGAGTATAAGTGAGGTCACGGAACAACTTACGTAAATAGGGATGTGAACTAAACATAACCATGTTAAACGATTCTCGCGAGAAATCGATTCGAAATTTTATGAGTCTCCCATCGTTTAGATTATTTTTCGGGTCATTGGTTTTCAGTTCTAGATAGAACAATATTAACACTTATTTAAATCTATAGTTTAATATAAATAATACGTATTTTAAATGAACACAATGACAATTTGTAATCTATATTTTAGTGTAGATAGATTACAGAATTCACAAGGACAACCTGTACATAGTTAAATAGAAAAAATCTGCAGCAAAACAAAAAGTAAGACTCATAGTTTACACTAAGTCGGAGGTAATAATGGCTTGATTTATTCTACATCAAATTTGGCTAGAGTATAGACGTAGGAAGTGTACGACTTGATACAGTTAATATAATGTTGTTCAAGGTTCGTGTATATAGAAACAGCATTCTTCTGGAAATGGTGGACCAAGCAGCCAGATTCCGTCCGCCACAAGGTCCACACTCTCGTCCGCCAAGGCCGGCTGCAGTTCGAGGGGGGGCGCTTGGAGCATGAACGACGAGGCCGCAACGCATTATCAGTCCACTATAGATCAATTTACTTGGGGACTTAGGTAAGTATTTGTTTTATAATTTTAATGCCATATTAGAGGATACAAGTGTCTGGTAGCGGGCGAGCGATGCGCGACGTTGAATGTTACTACCAGGTACGACACGCCTTTGAATCGCAAATATGTTAGAGGTACTTCCACTGCGCCTGTCACCCTGAGACATAAGTTGACAAGTCCCATATGCCTGTAATTTCACCAGCACCCTTACCCTTCAAAACCGGAACGCAGTAATGCTAAGAAATAGTTAAAGCGGCAGTAATTCCCTGAACAAACTCTTACATAAGGGTTCTATTGTGACTGTTTGTATTAGTATTAAGGACGGTAAAATATTAAATTACTAATCTATTCGAAGCCCGAAGTCGAAGGCTGAGGGCTTTAATAACTCGAGTTGTAATTTTTACCGCCCGTGCTAGATACAGTGTTTTCCATCACATTTGCGAGGAAATAGGTACAACGATAATTTATTTCTTGTATGGATAAACAATAACGCACACACTCAACAATAGCCCCGCACTAGGACAACCCTGTATCGCGGGTGCCATGGACACACACAAAGACAACCACAAATGACACCCAAACTCACGAGAGAAATAAATGTAGGCCATATAAATGTTTCTCCCGGTCCGGGAATCTATCTTGGGTCGTCTGCGTGGCAGTCTGTCATGGTAACCGTTAGGCCACAGAGGCAGTTAATGATAGTAATAAAAATATCGCTTCACAACATAGCATTTACGGATTTTGCACTGGTGGTTTTTTTTAAACAGATTGCGCTATTTTTCCATAGATAATACAACTCGAACTAAAACGTTATCAAAGGCACAAACGCATGCAGCCACGATGTATTATAGATATAAAATAAATAATGTCCAAATTCTAAAAATACTGCAGAATTTAAATTCAGAAAATAAATTTAGTAAAATATTTTTAAATATTTTTTTTACACTTCAAGTTTATCTGAAATATGCGTTCAGAATTTTCGGGCATAGAAACTTTTTGCATAATCTTGACCTAAAAAATCCATAGGGCGATAATGTAATGTAAAAGCCCGTGGACATAATTAAGGACATTACGGTCGACTTTGGCTGCATGTTATGAGACTATTTACGAGTGTGATGAAAAACTGGTTACAGTATTCTTTTGCCTACAGCAAGCTGAACGCCACGTTCGGTGAATGCGGACGTCCACACGTCGGCTGGCAGATCGATCCATTCGGTCATTCCCGGGAGTTGGCCTCGCTGCTCGCAGCCATGGGCTACGACGGATTGTTCCTCGGCAGACTTGATTATCAGGACAAGTCGAATAGACTTGGTAAGAAGACCATGGAGATGCTTTGGCGTGGGGACGACGATTTGGGTAAGTAATAATTATGCTAGTTTTGACGACCTCGTTTATACTGTGGGCGCTAGATGATGAGGTCCCAGGTTCGATTTTCGATAGGAATAACTTTGGAAATGTAATTTTTTAAATTGATTCTGTTCTGGCTGTTCTGGGAAGTGACCCAGACGGAATTCTGTATTTATAGTACAGGGAATTCTTTAGTTTAAGGTCACGTAATTGGCGTGATTGTCTGGCACAATTATTATAAAATTCTGTCTAAAATTCAAAACGAATTGTTTATACACACCCAAGCGCCTACGCACACGAAATTTCGCGCACGCATACAATCACACGCCAGCACATATAATCTGCCTTTTTTGAACATGGGAGTAAAATGACATTTACAGGGTTGCCAGTTTTCGTAAAATTTAAATAGTCACGTAATTGTTGTCGACAATTTTATCGATTGTGAAAGTAGGTAAAATTTTGCCAAAAATGTCTGAATTGTGAAATTATTTTTTGGACCTGTTCTGTTTTTATTTTGTTTTGTCTTTCTTTTTATTTTTTTTCTTAATTTTTTTTTTCACAGAAAATATGACTGATTACAAAAAAAAATGACCAAAAAATATAAATGGCGTAGTGTTCATTGGTGGTATCTAGATATTTGTTTTCTTTTCCAGGTAAATCGTCAGACATTTTCACTGGAGCCCTGTACAATACATACTCTCCCCCGCCCGGGTTTTGTTTCGATGTCTTATGTTCCGACGAACCGATCATTGACGATCCAACATCGCCTATTTACAATGTCGATGAGAGGGTAAGTTCTTCATGTTTCTTTCCACATTACTTAAGGCAATTGAGGTGACATACATAATTTAAGTATGAGAGCAGAAACGCTATTTATTTGGAAACCAATTTCTCCGAAAAACCAATGCAGTCCGAGACAACGTTTTGAATAAAGGGACATTTAAAAAGTTATTAAAAAAGTTGTTCCGTTAGTAGTACAAGGTCAAGAAACGTCAAGCTTGACACTTAAGATTTAAATCCAACTCTATGCCGCTTACGTTAAGAACGGTCTAAAGTACAATGTGTCAAGCTTGACGTGTCCTTGACTGTACTAAAAATATGGAAAATTTAAGCAGGCTTTTCAGTTGCTTTTTTGTAAAGAGCTCTCAAAGACAATTTTTTTTGACCTACAATTTCCAGAAAATCATTAAAGCTTTTTAATACTATGTTTTTACGTTACATAAAAGGAACGGTATGCCACGTTACGGATTTTTATGTCATTTTCTGGCTAATATGCTAGTGGCCAATGCCATGAAAAATATATTGACAGATCAAATGTCTATGTCATTATTATTGTGTAATTTTTGTTATAATCTAATTAACCTACATTTGGTCTAGGAATCAATTTGTGCAAAAATCTCTGAATCACCGAATACATTTTCTGTTTACACTCCCTCCATGATCTTTATGAAACTAGCATGATACGGACACTCGCAGAATTGAGACAATTAGTCTCACGTATAATATCAAGTATTTGATAATTTTAACGTTTAAGTGTTGCTGTTTTTGAACATTTTTTAGTATCGCAGTGTTGCTGATAATTATTTGAACATGTCTACAAATTTATGTTTTAAATCAGTTTTAAAAATGCAGGTCGGAATTATTTTTTGATATTCTGCTACGCTCTTTATTTCAAGCTTATATGTAGCAGTAAAATTGAGTCTGGTTAAATTTTTCTGGGAATAAAATACTAAGCTCCATACTAATTCGGTACAAGTCTTTTTTCCTTTTGCACGTCAATTTTATTATAACAGTTTAAAAAATTATCTCTCAAAAGAATTATTTATACATTTCGTAGCGGTGGTACTCCAGTGGAAAATGGTAGCTTCCCACTTGAAAAAAGAAATACATTTATTTGACTCCTACAATTGACACCGCACAAGAAAAAAACTGAAAACTATTAAAGTTAACATAATTAAAACAATAAAACGTAAAATAAAAAAAGCAAATAAAACAAAAATAAAATTACAACACAAGTATAATATCTTTCTCGTAGTGATCCAACTTATTCAGTACAACGCCATCTGTTGGCAAAATCTAAGTTCCTTATCGATGAGCCTCACCCTCAAGGCTAATAACAGGTAGTTGACTGCTCTTGAACCTATTTTATTATTTAACAAAATACAGGTACGTGTGCGATGTTGGGGACTTCTTACAAGTGTGCGTGGTTGGCGACAATGGCTTTGGTACTAAAGCTGCTTGATAACATTTCCATTAGTACATTCCATGATTTTAGATCGTAATTTCGTACTCTTGATACAATAAAACCACAAGTGATCGTACGTTAAAAGTACTTTTATAACTAGAAAAGTAATAAAAATAATAAAAACTACGTAAAACAAATTTGTGTATGTGATATTTTATAAAACTCCTGTTTAAGCATACGAAAATTTACTGCTTAATTGTATATAGAACCTTTAAAACTCACTCCAGAAGCGATACCTCCGATAAAGACTACACCAACTTAATTTTTGGAGCTGTTTTGTTTTTGTTTTTTTTTGTCGAATTTTGTTTTTTGTTTCTTTATTTTTTCATTTCATTGGACGTATAGATTTATTATATTATACTCCCTACAAGACGTTGCCTTTGTTGCCTATCGCTACAACTGGCGTCACTGCATAAGAGACGCCTTATTTCAACAAAAAGACCAAGAATAAAATTGATGTAGTGTTCATTGGAGGTATCGAAAAGTTGTCTCTTATTTGCAAGATGCAGATATGGCCTTATTCCACCGAGGTTGCGTTTATAGATTTTGAAAGAAACAGTCGAGTACCCTATCGGTGTTATAACAGGTGTCCAAGTTCATCGACATATGCCGCAACATGTCCACAGCCTACAAAACAAATAACATTTTAATAACTATGGGAGAAGATTTTCATTACCAAGACGCGGCGATGTGGTTCCACAACCTGGATCAACTTATTATGTGAGCTTATTTTGAGATAGTAGGTGTGATATTGAAATGATATGAGATACTATATTGTAGGACAGCATGATATGATATGAAGGGTATGAGATATTTCAGATAATATGATATAATTTAGCATGATATCAACGGCAATAACGAGTAACGGTTACCTGCAATCAGCTACAATTTTGAGTAATGAAGCAATATAAAAAGCTAATATCTGAAGGATATTCAGAATATACATAATATATTTTTCTTTCAAGGTTTTACTATCAAAACTCTACTGTAAAATCGTGATATTGCAAATAAACAGGTTTCTGCTTTTTTTTGCTGCTGTCGATATGATATGCCATAAGTAGAGTATGAGATTGCAATTGATAGCATGGTTTGAGATAAACATGTAAGGGCGCGTTCTCATTGTGTCGTGACGACAGATAGACGTGCAGTTTAATGTGTCGTGACTTGTATATTTAAATGAAGTTGTTCAATCATAGAACAACACAATTAACTGTCGTTCATGTCTTTTTTGACTTTACGACGACTGTTGTGTCAATGGGGAGAGTTAGAACGACAGTCGTCTGACGTTAAATATGTGACGACAGATAATCGCAGCTACAAATGATTCTGTCGTGCAAACGACAAGGCGGCTGCCGTGAACCGATACGTTGTCGTTACGATCTAGTGGGAACAGTTAGACCCGACAGTCGTACATCGATAAAATATCCGTCCACGACAGATTATCGTCATATGGGAACAGGCTAAACGCGACAGACGTAATGGGAACGCGCCCTTAAGAAATGAAATGATATGAAACAGAAAATATGATATTAGATAACAGAATATGGTATAACCATTGTCTTACAAATAAATGGACGACGGGTCTAATACAAAAACCACGAAAAAAATGTCCCAAGTGACATGTAAAATGTTGAATTTAAATTGTAATGTCATCGCAGTACTGTCTAATTTTGCTTGCTTCGCTGTCAGTCGAACAAACGAAGAATAAAGCGTGAATGACGCTCTGTATACGATTTTAACGCCCTATAAGTTCGGACACTTTTTAGCGCGGACCCGACATTCATATAATTGTTAGTCAATGGGTATAACATAATTATTTTGGAAGATTCTAATTCTTTTTTTGAAACAACAAAGTACTTATTTCGTGACTTTTATATGAATTTATATGAAAGATAATGTGTAATTGACACGTGCTGCCCTCCTTGTCATAATTAACGCATTTGCATTGCGGTGATTCCTGTGACGGTCGAGATATTTTCATCTAAAGTTTTTTTGATTGTACAAAATTCAGTTGCGCTGATTTTGTTTAAGACTCGATACAACCTCAAGTGGCTTCTAAATCGACCACTTTATAAATTGAGGATATACACTGATTACTATAACAATAATAATAATTTATTTAACACCATTGATCCACTTTGTTAGTAACAATCAAAAACTTAGGACTATGTTAGTAAATTACACTTAATAAAATAACTAAAATAGAAACAGTTTAAAATAAATAATAGAAATTAACAATAGCTATGCGGAATTAGAATACATGTCACCAGCCCTTCTTGGTGACTCGAATTCTGGTCCAATGGCACAATTCAGAAGGCTGTTACCGCTGCCACGCATCCTGCTCATGATCGACGAAATGCGTTTCCGTACTACTGCGTCAAAATCGTCGGTACGCGCCTGCGCAAACATGCCGGACGCACTACAGAACGGGGGCAGCCGCAACAGCATTCTAAAGGTGTTATTCTACTGGACCTTCAGGGCATTGAAGGATTTCTGCGTATAATTAACCCACAGACCGCAGGTGTATAGTGTCTGACAGTAGGCCCTAAAAAGAGTTAATTTGACCTACGAGCCAACATATTACTATACGGTGTGAAAACACAACTCCTAAAAATTTTCACCATAGAAAAAAGAAACGCTAACTTACCTTGAAATTTAACAAGAAAACCGCTGTATTCATTACGTACTTTACATGTATCAATGATTTTTTTTTTAAATTAACTGATCTACGTAGAACACGTATAGTATACGAAATACATTTTTGAAAGGGCCTTAATTTCGTTTGTAAAAAAATAAATACTGAAATAAAGCCGGAGTCCCCCCCCCCCCCGCTCGGCCCAAGCAAAATGAACCGTATTAATAGGGAGAAAAGTTGAAATTGGGCTGAGGTATAGACTCTTAAGAATAAAACTGAAACTAAATAAGATATAAAAAACCGATTAGAGAGGGTTGTACATCTCGTTTTACTGATCTCAGATGTGTTGTAAACACAATTTCGCTAAAAATGTCGATTCTATTAGTTATTATATGGAGGGTAGCATTGACTTACAATTATATGGACGTCGGGTCCGCGCTAAAAAGTGTCCGAACTTATAGGGCGTTAAAATCGTATACAGAGCGTCATTCACGCTCTAGTCTTCGTTTGTTCGACTGACAGCGAAGCAAGCAAAATTAGACTTAAGAAGAAATTAGAAATGCTGCCCGTATGTGGAACCTTCTCCCGGTCGAGGTCAGACAGTCGCCTTCGGTTCGGGTTTTCAAGGGTGCTCTTTTGAAGTTTTGGGATGTTCAGACTCCTCATGCTTTTGAAATATTTATTTACATTTGATATATTTATTTATAGTTTTATTTTGTACATTCAATTTATTATAGACTTTGTATATATTAATGTATCAACATTACTTAATATATATATATATTCGTATGTACATTTGATTTATTAAATTTATCTGTGTATTTATTGAGTATAGTATATTTCATTTCTTTACTTACTTTACTTTACTTTATCTATTTTTAGTGCCACCCCAAAAACCAACTTTCCTCTCAGATTTTCAAAGGTTAGTTGGAAGAAATCTCTTTATGGGATAAGCTCGCCTTTGTACACAAATATTTAAATTGTTTCTGAAAATTTGTAAGTTACTTTGTGGTACAATAAAGTGTTTAAATAATAAATAAATAGACAGTACTGCGTTGACATTACAATTTAAATTCAACGTTTTAGCTTTTTCATAATCCTTTACATGTCACTACGTTTAAATAGGTTGACTTGGGATATTTTTTTCGTGATTTTTGTATTAGACCCGTCGTCCATTTATTTGTAAGTCTATGGAGGGTAGAGTCTATTTTAATTCTACGTAGTTTATGTGCTTGATTGCTTGCATTGTGTTCATATTGTTTGTCTATGGTTCGTTTGATGCCACATCATTAATGAACCTGTGTGATGGTTCTGCCAAATACCAACTGGTCCCTTTGAATTCAGTAGGAAAGTGCCAAGAGGCTTATAGGTGGCTCGGATTCAATAGAGGCGAAGGCTTGGCACCTTGAACACCGCCGTGCCTGCTTATCAGTATTCTATAGGATATATAAGAATTGCAGAATTGCGTAATTTAATTTCGCCTTCCCCATTCCAAGTGAGGTGTGTTTCGCTTCCAAATGTATATGGCAAACGGGTAAGGAGTGGAATTCCCTGCCTGCAGATTTGTTCCCCAAACTTGGGCCTTTTCAAGGCGAGAGTGAATAGGCGTTACCTCATCGAGGCTTCCCAATAGATGAAAAGGAGGTCAAAAAGCGCACTTATTTTCTCATATAAAAAGAAATTATACACGCAGTTCAACATTTACGAAGCATTGCTACTGCAACACCTGTTTCATTACACAGATTTAATTTTCTCCCGATATTGATTTATTATCAAGGGGTTTGATAACAGATGGCGTTGTACTTAACTTCGAGTCGCGGTTATAAAATATAATTTTTATATTTAAACGTATTTTTGTGTATGTTAAGCAATTACCCCCGACATTTGTGAACCGATTTCGACGATTATTTTTTGTTGGAAAGGAAAGTAGTGATCCCATTCAAATTTGAAGAAGTAATTCCGTCTCTAAGGCTGGAAAATTAGGGTATGAATCCGGTTTATTCGATTTCACCTCACACGATTACAGTTCGCACATAAATTCCGAGAAATACAGAGGTGCGAGATCGGATTCGAACCCGCGGACTCTGCTTGAGACGCGGTAGGCCGAACCATTAGTAATAAAATCATTTAAAAACAAAAGTATTGTTTTCAAAAACAGATAAGCCAATTCCTAAATTACACGCTGACACAATCAAAATACTATCGCACGAACAACGTTATTGTGACTATGGGTGGTGACTTCACGTACCAGGAGGCTGGCATGTGGTACCACAACTTGGACAAACTCATAGAGTGAGTTGTTATACGCATTAACACGCCTTCGTGCACATTTATCAGGGTTCGAAGTGATAATTAACAAAATGCTACTACTTGCAATGTGGTGCCATATGTTCAATGCAATATACTTTTTTAATGTGTTTGCGCTGAATAAATTTATTTTCTTTCTTTCTTGCTATGTTTATGCCAGGCCCTGTCATCGAGTGTATAACCAGAAATAGAGACGAAATGTCATCTAATTTGTTTAAAAACTATTCTGCCAAATCATTACTATGACACTTGCTCTCCGATTGGCCAGCCCGAATTCGAAACAATTGACGGGTGTCGTCAATTGTTTTACTTCAAATCGACCAGTTTAACTTGAGCATTGCTACGATAGACGAAAATTGCAAAATTATATATTTAATGATGAAATGTGATTCCGTTTGTTTTGTAATTAAATGTTTTGCTGTTTTTCCCACACCACCAAATGGAACAGCCCCCATTGTTAGAGATATTAGCTTTATTACAAGCAGTACAGAATATTTTTGGAATATATGGAGACGTACACAAGTCGTTGTTGGCGCTGTAGTATTTCAGTTTTCTAATTTATGATTTCAGCTCAAACGACAGTTGATATTTAAAAGTGACATAAGGCTCATTTGCCTGATGAGTTGCCAGTGATGGATGGTCCTTATTACGTCTCTATTTTAGGTTATATATTCGATGGGTCCTGTACTCTCGTTTTCCGCCCGACATCCGTCCAAAACAATTATTGTCAAATAATGAATACTCGATCAGATTAAAAGATGCATGACGCGAATGAAGCTTCATACTTGACATTGTCTTGAGAACGAAAGTAGACCCCAGAGACGCATCCCTTAAACTATGGAAACCAAAGGACATGTTATATTGACATATATAAATCAGACGTTATATGTATATGAAGCATTTAGACGGTGAAAACATAAACATTTTACTGTCTTGGTTTACGTCGTAAGCCAAAAGAGATAGCACTACATTGATTTATGTCAAACACGGGAATCGAGAATACGTAACGTCATCTTAAATGCCAATTGTTCTCATTTTACCATTTTTGGAGTACACTTTGATCCGTTTCCGGTTGCCAAAAGGAAGTACATCAAATGTCAAAACCATTTTTGGCCAAATGTTTTAGTGAATGGACTGGATTTTGAAATGGACAAAAATATTGACAGTGAGAACAATTCAGTATTGATAAAAATGCGTCGCTGCAGCATTAAGAGGTGCGGCAGTAGAAAAAGCAGAAATCAGCCGAATGTTACATTACACTAATGTTATTTTTCTGCCTATGAATCATACAATTGCCGAAATATCTCATGTAATTAGACTCATTTAAGTAGTTTATTCATAAGTCTTGCCGAATGTTGCTTTGGTTATTTTAGATTGTCTGTTTGTTAGTATATTTTGATTATTGTTGATAATGCACATACTCAACATGGCCCCGTACTAGGGAAACCCTGTGTCGCGGGTGCCATGGACACACACATAGACAACCACAAATTACACCCAAACCACGATAGAAATAAATGTAGGCCCTACAAATATTTCTCCCTGCCCCGGGAATCGAACCTGGGACCTCCGCGTGGCAGTACGGCATGGTAACCGATCAGCCACAGAGGCAGTTACGTTGATAATGAATATTTTGAGATAGTGTTGTTCTTGTGAGCAGACATATTATCGATATTCTGTTATTGAAACTTTCGATTCACTACGAGGTTTTCTTATTTCATTATTCTTATTTTTAAAGTTTACCTACAAATGAAAAAAGAAAGAATGGTTAGAAATTATGGGGCTGCCGAACATAAACATTGGATCAAATACCATCTTCGTTTGTTCGCTCCATTTAAATTTAAATAGAACTTTGAATGTAACTAGATTACATGATAATGCAATTCCATCGTTACATTTATTGGTAAATAACTTTATATGTAATTTTGATTAAAATGGCTCATTACTTGCCTAGTAATAATAGCCTAGTATTAATCATACTTTGATTACAGTAAACTACACAAATTTGCAAACATAAAACACAGTAGCAACACTTTCAACATTCAAGCCATACATTTGCATGTCGATATTGACTTATCTATGATTATAGTACAACACCAAATCCGCCATTTGTGGTGGACATTTTTGGTTTAGATACATTGACCTTTTAGATAGGGACGTTTATTCCGAAGATAAGGCAGCTCCTTTCCTTTATTTTTTTCCATCCTCTTAGACGCATCCAAAAGTGTCAAATGTCAATCTAAAACAAAGTCAAAAACGAAATCGTTTTTCCTAAAAAAATTTCTTGCTAATTAATTATCTGAAAGAAATAAATAAAAGAAAAAAAGAAAATGAATTTATTCAGCGCAAACACATGTTACAAGTACAATATGATTTTATGCTTAACGTGTATTGCACTGAAAAGGGCCCAACTCAGCAAATACTGCGGCGGAGCCACAGCGCTGGTTTTCAGTGGATTCTTTTCTAATTGGCCGATTTAAAAATTAAAATTACAAATAAAAATTACATATAAGGAAATAAAAAATTGTGGATGCGCATTAAAATAGGTACAACATATACATAAGTCAATTAAATCAGAAAAATAAAATTGTCATATGTCTACAGCGTTTTCAATTGTTCACTGTGTCTTTATATATCTCACAGTTTGTTATTTTTAGTCAAAGATCAAAGAGACAAAGCTGAAGTGAATCAGCATGGCTAATTCTCATGATAAATATCGAAGAAAAGAAATATTTAAACAATTCGAACCCTGACATTTACATACACATTTCTATGCTTGAGCGCGTGTTTACACGCTTGCGCTCGCATTTGCACGCTTGTGCTCGCATTTACACGCTTGTGCTCGCATTTACAAGCTTACGCTCGCATTTATACGCTTACGCACGCATTTATACGTCTATGCATGTATTTGTTAGCACACATTTGGGAACTTTGGTGTGGTCATATTAATTCAGAAGCTGTGGACGAATTGTAATCAATAAATTATTTTTGTTTTTAGACATTCCAATATGAAATCTGCCCAGGAAGGATTGAACGTGAAACTATTTTATTCTACACCTAGTTGTTATTTGAAAGCAGTTCAGGAAGCAAAGTAAGTGACTACGTCATAGCAATTAATTATACAATATTTAAAAGGGTGAATTTACCCGTTAATACGAAATTATTTTTATAATTATTAATACAAAGATAGAACGTTTACAGAGATTCCTTCGATCCGGCTGAATTCGAACCAGCGCCTTCACCATGCCCTCCCAATTATGCTATGAAACGAACCAGCTGACCTTACTCATTTTTATATCTTTGTTTTTGGTTTTTAACGACTTTTTAGCCGTAGCGCCATCTGTGGGAAATCTATGAAAGCGTTTTCTCCACTTAGAACTTCAGGGGTTAGGCACGGTATGCTGAAGGCGCGGAATTACTTTATCCTAACAAAAAAACCGTGTTATTCTATAAACTTAATATTACGAAAACTTTTGTATATATTTAGTCCAACTCTCCCAACGAAGCAAGATGACTTCTTTCCATACGCGAGCGATCCGAACGCTTACTGGACAGGTTACTTCACGTCGCGACCCACAACAAAGTATTTTGAACGGGAAGCGAACAGCTATTTGCAGGTCTGTACTATTTATGACGTTAAATGATAACATATATTCGAGAATACCTACTGTAACAAACCTAAATAATGCAGTACGTTAATGTAATATCACTACAATAATTTTATAGTTGTCTCAAAAGACGATAGATGGCGTTGATTGATTTTACGTTAACTCCTAAATTTTATTATTGATACTCTTAATTTTGTTTAAGGAAATATATTAAATCGCTTTTTTCGTTACATGGGTTTTATGAAATTTAATAAGAAATTAATGAGCGCATTCGAAGGCATGAGAGGTCCATCGCCGCTTGGAGCCTGAAGGTTTTGCCTCCGCACCTCACACTTCTCATGTCGTATTGGCTCGGATACTATAAGTAGGCGCATATACAGATACAAAGATCGAACTACACAAGCCATTTACCGTATAAATGTTTTTTTTATTTTATAATATCAAGTGACGGTGCACCTGATGATAAGCTACACGCCTGTCCATGACAGTTGCAGTGCCACTCAGAGCTTTAAATCGCAAAGATCTGAGCGGCACTTCCACTGCGCCCTTCACCCTGAGAAAAGTTGACAAGTCCCATGTGCCTGTAATTTCACCAGCACCCTTACCCTTCAAAACCGGAACACAGTTATAGCAGCGGCAGAAGTAGGTGAAGTGTATATATTTCCCTGTGTCAATATTTCCCTGGACGAATTCTTTCACAAGAAGCTCTACTGCTACTATGTGGAAGCGTCTAGGTGTTTTGGGTTGTGCTCAGGAGTGAATTCCATTGCTCTGGTACTCATAATACAGTAATACCCCGCTTTACGCGAGGAATACATTTCGGACAAAATCGCGTAAAACGGGGTTGTTCTTGTTTTTGTGTGGCCCGTCTGATGTTATAGATTTTTGGTCGCGCTAAGGTCTCTAACTTGTCCTGCGAACGACTGCTACCAGGGCTAGAGCGGGGTATGATCGAATAACAAGCTGAATATTATAACGAACGTGCTTAATTTATGTTTATTGAAAAAAAAATAGAAAACTGTCACAAAGAAATGAGACCTTAATAGTTGTCTAAAGTTTTTTAGTTAAATTTGAGAGGCCAAACTATCGTTAACTTCTGTAGCTTAGCCCCTGTTATCCATCTTTTTAAAAACTTTTATCTTCGTCTCCAAATTGAAGCTCTTACGGTCTTTTTTCATAACCGTTGGCGTCATTGTTCGTAAATAGTACCAATGTTACAAATTAAGGGTGTTACCACGAAAGAACTAATTTATTTAAATTTTCGTGTCAACTGACTATGCACTTTTAATAACTGAGAAGCTACGGGCTCTTATTGGCTAATTCAATCACACCGCCATGCGCGCAAATAAGCCAATCAAATCCGATTAATCAACCTATCAATGCATCCACGTAAAGCGGGGTAATTTAGCGCGAATTTTAAAAATCGCGCAAAGCGGGGTATTACTGTACAAGGAATTTCCTAGTTTGAGACCAGGTAATGGGTTATCGGACGTTAAGGTCATATTAATATTTTTAACAGATGGTGAAACAGCTGCAAGTGTTGGCTAACTTGGAAAAGCATAATCAATTCGTGATTGATGAACTCAAAAGCGCAATGGGTAAGCTTTTTATTAAAACTTTTCTTATTTGCATGATAAAAATCTATGGTAGTGACCCCTTTAGCTCTTGCAGGTTCTTTATGTATACGATTTGTCTATAATGTCTATGAATGTTGACCTCTTTGGTCGTGTAGCTTGCACACCGGTTTTCATGGTGACACCATCTCCGAGATCCCGAGTTCAATGGCGGCTTTATCCTCTCATTCTTTCCACATGCCCTAGCCAGTGATGTCTGGCTCGGGCACTAGTTCTTCTATCTCTTTATTGAATCTGACTCTCCAGTTCCCAAATGGCCACTAACAATTTAAGTTCTTTCTTCAGCATTAGTGTCCATTTTTCACACCCACACATTAAAATTGGCCAGCATGCTGATTTTGATTTAAATAGGAATGGAACCGATCGATTAGTCTCGAAATCCGACCGGGATAGGCAATCGAAATCAAGCTGCTGATTACTGTTGTGTAGACACAATTCTTTGTAGCCTTGTTTAGTAATTTGGACACCAATACTTTATGAAAGGCTACTTCACATCTTAGCACGATACTATGCGATACTGAAGTCGATGATATTTCCTTGAAGTAATACAAGCGGTGGTTACCTTCCATGCCACGTAAAACATCTGTAAGAAAGTTGAAAAGACAAAACGTAGCATTGCAACCGCTTTTCGGATACTACACTGATCCAGCTAGTTGTGCAATGCACAATGGAAGGTGAGCCAACAGCTCCGGCACCAATCTGGACAATAGGTACTAGCCTTTTGGGCACCAGATGAAGCCTGTAAACGGGCTGATCTGGGGTCAAGACCTGATTGATAAGGTCCCTGTGCACTGCTGCTTGTTCAGGTAATACTGCCCTTCCCTTATAAATATGGGGTGGGACATTGTAAACAACACTTAAGTAGAGAGATATGGGATTGACCAAGCTATTAGAACCAGCTCATCATCGCCTGCATAACATTATAAAGCTAAATCTAAATAATGAATAAATAATTCCTTTCAATTAAATTTAATAAATAACCTCTATTTAAACATCATAGTACATTGTATTCCGTTTCTAATCATCTTCTGTATGAATTTACCTATCCATGTATACAGTATATTATGTGCACCCTAATTCTAAACCAATCTATTACAGTAAAAAATTGTATTTCTTATTTAATTATGTATTGCCATAAATTAAGGCTAGTCCAGGCGTGTCTTTTTCTGCTCGGTCAACACTTTTTTGTTTAACAGCGCATAAGAAACTTTCTTATGTAACGGCGGTGGTAAGTTATTCCAAATTGTCGATGCAGCGTATTTGAAATGAAAATTTGGTTAAAACAATTCTACGTTGCAGCATGGAGGTGGGTTCAAGTCCCACCGGGCCGATGAATAATTTTTCTGCGCGTTTCTCGATTCTTGTATTCATTATCATAAATAAACAGTTTTAAATTAAATATTTTTTTTAACCTGTATAATACAATAATTTAATTCGAATAACTTTCAGGCGTCATGCAGCATCACGACGCCATAACCGGCACGGAAAAGCAGCACGTGACTCACGATTATGAACGCTTGTTGAACCAGGCCGTTGACGACGCCTTGATCGTTGCCAGACAGGCACTCAAGTGAGTAGCTCTTACTTATATTATTGAAATGTCCATATTTGTGTCATTTTCACATACCACAGTGCTAATTAAATAGGCGCCAAGCAAGTCGCTATAGAAATTAAATGTCGCTTTTGGTTTTAACATCGCTTAAAGTACCGGCACGCTGTCATGGCCGTTTTGACGGCTCATCAAGTTTCATATTAATTCATAACTACGTTGTAGGACCTAATTGCTGTGCATTGTTGTCAATAGAGACATGCAGTAAAATTTATAGAATGTATAATTTTACGACACAACTTTTGATATTCGAAATTTTTTTAAATGAAATCTACTACGATCGTCACCTACAGGATCGCTGGCCAGCACAACTTCTACCTCCGGCAAACTCGCGTAAAAGCTAATACAAAACAAAGCAATTTCGAATTGACATTGCTTCGGTTCATTGGAATACATTAAGTAAACATTTTTATTTTTCTTTTATTTAAACTTTTTAATCAGCTACCCCTTGCAATACTTGTTATAAATCTAAAAACTTATAGATGCGATTCGCATTTGATTATATTTTTTTCGAGAATGAATTGAGATTTGACCTCACTATTGCAATCTGTCAAAAGGGCCGTCATAGCATGCTGGTACTGTAATCAACGTTGGCCAACCATTTGGCAACGTTGAACGTACCTTGAGTATAATGACGATGACATATGTCAAACCAGAGTTGCCGGGGTCATTGAGCCGAAAATAACGTTTCGTTACATGGAAAGTGATTTTTTCCTGCAAAATTTTGTTTTATTTTTTTTGAATCAAGAAGTCTACGTGTTATTTATATATACGCTTAAATCCTAGCTAAAATTAGGGATGCTTAAGTAAAATCAAGTTTTAACTATTAATTGGTAGATTTCATTTTGCTAGCGCCATCTCTAAGTTATTTATTCCCTTTTTTGGCGTTCGTAAAGCATTTGGGATTTATAATAACAAATTTCAATTTCAAATATGTCGAATTTAAAGTTGAAAGGTATTTTCACGTATTGGATATATCAAAAGTTACTAAACATGTTAGAAATTTAAACAACCATCTGGCAACACTATGTCAAATTTCATGAACCAGTGATGGGACACAATATGTGAAATCGAGAATCGATGTTAAAATATATCGACTGAATGTATTTTAATCAGGGTTACAATATCAATTAATGGTACTGCATAGTTGTGACGTCACAAACTCTATGAGGCTTCGAATGACCGTTATACAAAATAGAATTTGATATTGATATCTTGCTGGCGTAAGTAGGCTGCGACCTGTTTGGCCAGTAAAGTGACGAAGGAGGCGGTTGTAGCAAAACTCCCTTGGGGTTCACGCAAGACGCGTTAGATGGCATTATTTCGTTGAAAGCTTTTTTCGTAATCGCGTATCATTTCATGGCTAAGAGATAAAAAATTGTATTCAATTAATGACTTCTTTACATATAACTCTCAATAAATTTGACCACTTAACTTGTTTGATAACCAATGTATTTATATTTTTTGACATCTTCATGACATGGCAGTAACTTACTATTTTAATGTTGCCTTTATACATGACAGGGCTTGCTTTAGAATTGTTTAGCTGCCAATATGTTGACATTCATAGATTTGCATGCCGATAGCGGTAAAATATGAGTACTGTTTTATCATGTATACTTATACCACCATATTTAACCATATTTTTAGCTAATAAATATCATTCATTCATTCATTTTCGGTCTTGAAATATGTGATCAGAGATGAGTAGTGCGTTAAATCCCAATCGACCGGGCAGAAACGGCGAATATGAAATGCGGAATAATTCCATACTTAAAAAGAGGTAACTCCACACAATACTAGCCTTACAATCATGTGGATTCTCACTACTAAGCAAGCAGAAAATCGATTCAGGGGTATACGATCTAACGATTTTCTGTATCGAGTTATTTGAAAGCGAAAAACCAGATTTTTAACCCGGGCACTTGTCCATCTCTGTACGTGATACGTTATGGTGATATAAATATTAACCCGATATTGTAGAATGTAGCTAACTTAGAGAGTTCTTTTATCTTTTCCAGTAAATACTTACAAGGTGATCCTTTGAAGCCGCCTCTGCTTAGCTTTGAAAGGTGTCGGTTCAACGAATCTAGTTGTTACACTTCTGAGCATAGTGAGCAGTTTATCGTGAGTAACTTTATACATATGTACATTAGACATAAGGAAGATGCGTCATGAATTAATAGACATTGTGTTATTATTATTAATAAAAGGATCTACGACATAGAAAAATTCCGTCGATCCGGCTGGATTCGAACAAACGTCTTCAGGAAACCGTGCCAACTAAGCCACGGAATAAACTAGCGGACCTTACGAAGTTTTCTATGCCGCAGATCTTTGAGTTTTTGTGTTATTACTTTCTCAAAACAATTTATAGGTGGTACCATTGACTTACAATTATATGGACGTCGGGTCCGCGCTAAAAAGTGTCCGAACTTATAGAGCGTTAAAATCGTATACAGAGCGTCATTCACGCTTTAGTTTTCGTTTGTTCGACTGACAGCGAAGCTAGCAAAATTAGACAGTACTGCGATGACATTACAATTTAAATTCAACGTTTTAGCTTTTTCATATTCCTTTACATGTCACTACGTTTAAATAGGTTGACTTGGGACATTTTTTTTCGTGGTTTTTGTATTAGACCCGTCGTCGTAAGTCAATGGGTGGTACTTAAAAGCCAGAAAGATAAAACACCTGGTGATTCTATTCAAGATAAACGATTTAGGCATGATTATATTTGGTGAAATTTACAAGCAACTGGGGACTTGTCAACTTATGACTCAAGGTGACGGGCGCAGTGGCAGTGCCCCTTAAATCTTTGCAATTTAAAGCTCGTGAATGTTATTGGACAGGCGTGTCGCTTTCCACCAGGCGACTTGTTCGCCCCGTCATTTGATATACTAAAAAATAAAAAAAAAATATTTGGAAATTTAATTTTAAATGGGAACTATTTAGGGTACAGTTAAGCATATTATGAGGCTATACCACTTTTGTTCAAATATCGCATCCAGCAGCTTGATTTTGATTGCCTCTCCCGATCGGAAACTGCGTCTCTTCCCAGTGGAGGCGCATAATTGCGATTCACAACTGTCCGATCGGAAACTTTTGACATTTCTAATCGGAACAATAGTTGATTTGACTCACAAATTAGATATAGTAGGAATCAGGTTCATCTTCTCGCTCAGAAACCCGTCTGATTTCGAGACTACCCGATCAGTTCACTTCCAATTTGAATCAAACTCAGGACTCTGCACTGTTCTGCACAAGATCCATAAATGGGTAGCTTAATATGAAGCCGTTCATATATGAAATTAAACAACTATTTGAGTATGAGTAGCCATCATCCATTATATTATTGTTTTGTTAATTTCAGATTGCTGTATACAACCACTTAGCTTGGGAGGTGTCTGAGGTCATTAGGATTCCTGTTATGGAAGGAAGTTATGAAGTTTACGACCCGAATGGTAAGTATTAGTACAAGTTCTGGTCACACGGGTGCAACCAACAAAAATATAACGGAGCGATATAACAATGTTCATGTCTCTAGCGTAGCTTTCAGCAATTTTTGGACCAAACATATTGTATATCGACTGGCAATCGGTACCATCTCAATTTTGACAACTTTACAAGGATAAAGAAAAAAATTGTTTGCGTCACTTGTATAGCATCTGATTTCTTAAATTAAAATACGTAGTTTTTAAATATTCAATCACCTGTAAGCTACTAGGCTTACAGGTGGCTCGGAATTAGTAGAGGCGAAGTTGCTTGCTTATCGATATTTTACAGGATATATCACGGAGAGTGGTGCGGTGGAATTACACGATTTAATTCCGTCTTCCCCTTTCCATCATCGGGGGACTAGGCGTGGGCTTGGATTCCACCCCTATGTTGTGGATATTTCAAAAATTCGCACGAAGCGTTACGCTTCCACATTTATATGACCAACGGCTATGGAGCGGAATTCCCTGCCTGCAGACTTATTCCCTGAACGTTATAATTTGGATCTTTTGAAGGCGAGAGTGAATTTGCATTATTTAGATGTGCATGCTCCATTGTCGACCTTATCGTCACTTTTTCAGGTGAGATGGAGGTCAAATGCACATTTCTTCTTCAAGTGCCTCTCCATTATTGAAGGTCGGCAGTCAGTTTGATCTTTCTTTGTCCAGAGCTAGCCTGAATTGCCGGTCCATTCCCTGATGTTACGAAGCCACGACATTTTCCTTCTTCTAACCTTCCGCTTCCCAGCTACTTTGCCCATCATTATAGTGTGCAATAGGTGATATCTGTCATGTCGCAGTACATGACCCAAATAGGTAACCTTCCGCTGCTTGACAGTGCGTACCAAATCCACCTTCTTCGCCATACGTTTAAGGACCTCAACTTTCGTGACTTTGTCCGTCCAACTGACGCGGAGCATTCTACGATAACACCACATTCGGAAACGCTTCAAGTTTCTTCCTGAGGTCTTCTTTTATGTTCCATGATTCGCATCCGTAAAGAACGACTGGTCAGATGTAGCACTACAAGAGCCTAGTGCGGTGTAATAGATAGCTGCCGGCTGCTTAAAACTTTCCTGATTGTTTCAAAGGGTGCCCGGGCAACTTCTATACGCACACATATCTCGGTATCACTTTCCCAGGACAGCAGAAAAATGGGACTCAACATGAAATGCACATTTACATTTGTATAAAAAAATATATCGCAACTCCCACTGTTCGACTAGCCGTTGTACGTGCACCCGGGTATCGCTCACACAAGGCTCTAGCTTTTTAAGCACCGGATGACGTCTGTGTAAAGAGGCTGATCTGGGGCCAGGGAATCTACTCCCGTTCTCCGTCCAACATCCGTCGGAAATCATTACTGGGTTCCCTTTGTTGTGTACTCCAAGGATTCGCACAAAGCGTTACACTTCCACATTTATATGGCGAACGGCTATGGAGTGGAATTCCTTCCCTGCAACTTGTTCTCTGAGCGGTATAACTTGGGCCTTTTCGAGGCGCGAGTGAATAGGCATTTTTGGTGTGCATGCTCCATCGTCCACCTCATCGTCACTTTCCATTTTCCATTAATTACAATAAAAAAACTATCAAATAAGTAATATTCGACCAAATTAAAAGATGCATGATGCGAATGAAGCTTCATACTTGACATTGTGTTTTGATGAGGTCGAGTATTATTTATTTGACATTGCTAGATTCCCAGGACTTAACTGATAAGGTCCGCACAAGGGCTGGTTGCTACCTCTCAGATGGTGGGTGAAGTAATCACCTTTTTGGACCGACTGTTTTGTATCAAAGATTATTATTAAATTATTATTCAAGTATTACATAATTTATAAAAATGTTTCAGGCGATAAGATCACATCGCAGTTAGTCGACATACCCGCCGCGGTGCAATCGATACCCACCCGCAAATCGAGGGCAACACACGAAATCTTCTTCATCGCCAAACTCGACCCAGTCTCATACAAAACATTTTACATAAGGAAAACCAATCGTAACAAACGTTCAGCTTACGATTCCAAAAATCTGAACGCATATGCCAATATCAATGAATATTGGAACGATATTAAACAGACAGTTGTGATTGATATTAAAAATCGACATGAGGCGAAACAAGAGAAACCTGTATTCATACCTTTATACGAGTCAATAAGTAATAACATGAACGTACCTAAAGAAGACGCACAATTATTCGACGCTTCCATTTTAGACGACGATATTGATAGAACAAAAGAAATCGATCAATTGGTTCAAATTATTCAAGAACACAAGAAAAGGAAACCCAATCAAGTTCAGTTAAAGGCGATTGTTGATGATGACATGGGGATGTTAGGTGATGATCCGATGGTAGTCAACAGTTATCCTGAGGAGAATGAGGTGAGATTAGCTTTAATATTCATTCATTGTAAATTGAAATTTCTTGTGATGTTACAATCGAAATCGTCAAATTGTCAGAAACTGGTACTCACTCGTAAGGCAGAGTGACAAAGTAGGGCTTAAAATTTTAGATATAAGAGAGTACTGTAACACAGGCTGGATAGATTATATTATTATTTTATATTTAGATGTGTCTAAAAAAGTAAGATGGTTTTGTATTTAAAACTAGATAAAAAAAAAGAGGATTGTTGTCAAAGGAACATCGCGGTAGTTCTGGATGTTCTAGCTGAACGCTCACAGTTAATGTTTAATTATGACTGTATTTAGGAAATGAAACTATTTTTCCGGATTTAAATCGCGTATATTTGTTTTTTCAAACAAACCGACGTTTCGGGCCCTTTACAGGTCCCATGGTCACGGTTGACTGAGGTGGTACAGTCTTCAACCAGTTATGTCTAATATTAATGCAAACCACCCTATTTTTTCACTATAGTTACAATAGTTATTAATTAAATACCTTATTTTTAATTTTACAAAGAAACATTCCAATTTACTCTACATTAAGTTTTACAAATTATTTTATTGAATGAATTTTTTATTAAGTTTAATTTAGTATTAATTATTAATAGAAATTAGAATAAACTAAAACATATTAATT